TTATGCAGAAATTTACTAGATTGGAGATTTTTTTATTTTTAACTTCCCGAAGGAGAACTTTATGTTTTCATAAAAAAATCCGATTCGCTTATTTTATGTTTTTCGACGTTTCAAGCCATTCTGAATCGAATGAGACCAAATTTGGAAAAAGTATGTGTGTGTGTGTGTGTGTGAACAGATTTTTTTCCGTAAATCCACGTTTTCTTAAAAACGGCTGGACCGATTTCAATAATTTAAAAGCTATTCGATGTATCTCGATGAGGACTATTGTTTGTCACTTTTGTGCGACGATCGGCCGAGCGGTTTTTTTATAAATTGCAGATTTATTTTTTATTGACTAAGTCGATTATTTATACATATCGGGAAGTTTATGTAACTTGCCTCAAGGCTAAATTCCAATACCAACTAGTTAAATTTTTCTCCATTTTCTTCTATTTGATCCTCAGATCCTCAATTTTGACTTTAGATTTGTGTTTAGCTTTAAAAAATACATTGGAAAACATATTTCGTACACTCAGTCGTAGATCTGTGGTAATTTCAAAATGTTCTAATTTATGTACCTCTCATTTACCGTTCTCCTATTTTTACCTATTCTGAGAGCATTATTTTTGGACAACCTGATCAAGCAGCATTGATACCAATTTTTACTTGAAAATATAGATCTGAAATATGTTTATAATTGAAAATAACTTCACGACATTGCTGTATCAAATTAAAAATATATCATCAGTATTACATAAAATCTTAGCATTAATATTTATCAAACATAGACGAGCAAACCGTTGGGTTGTGGTTGTGTTAATCTACAGCGCGTTGTTAAGAACTTGTTTGGACGTATTGTTATACTATTGGCCATGAGGACTGCGATCATCATGCGAGCTTTTGCACTGGAAGATTGCTACTCCCATAAAAGTTGAAAGAATTCACTTCTTACCTTCGAAAGATCAAATTTGCACATAATATATAAATTTAAATTTTTATTTTTAAATTGTGGTGTATTTTCTTTTTTCAAAATTCTGTAAGTACGAATTTGAAATTTTTGTTTGCTGGTTTGTACGATAAGATTTATTTATTCAAAAATGTAGTACATAAGAGTACATACTCAGTCGATTGTGTAGAAGTTGATATAATAATAAGTGATTAGTTTTCTTATTATTCCAAATAACATTCGCCAAGATTTATTTGCAATTCATTTATGTTTTAAAAATTTTGTATGCTCATATAATATTTACTTCGCAAAAGTTCTTGCCGCACCACTAGTCGTTATTAGTACCGGGGTTATAATAGATTGATGATTAAAGCCGTATTAAATTTTCGTATGATGTTTGGATGTATAATTGTTTGCTTGACTCGCGGATGCAATAACAACCGAATGCAATAACAATAATATCAGAGAATTGCCGGAGAACAGCAATAACACAGCGAGCGAAATACTAATAATTGCAGCCAATGGTGGCAGCGGTTTGCGATATTCACTGTAGAGAATTCAGTTATACCGAAAGGGGGGCATGCTGCACTTGCTTTGATGTCATTATGAGATTCATACCCACTTATAACCCCTCGAAATATAGCACGGGGGTTTGGGGCCGGGGCACATCATAATCGCTACAGTGCTACACTGACGATGAGAGTGCTTGACGATGTTCGGATGCGGGGCGGGTATTACGACTTGCTCTCTCTCTCACTTACTACACTTTTAATATTTAAATACATACACATAAATAGAATAAAATGTAATATTAGTAAAATTTAATTGTTACAATTTGTGTCACGTGAATGCTTATCTAACTAGTAATTGCTGGAACTTTCGGTACTGTAATAAAATATTTGAGGAATTTTAGATACTGTAAATATAATTATTTTTATTTTGAAGACAAAATATAAGAGCTTATAAATTGGACAATGACGTTTACATGAAAAGTAAATAAACAAAACTTAATCAAGCGGTGTCAGAATAAAGAAGCTTTTCATATTTTAAAAATTAAATAAACTGAATTACAAAGTTAAATGTATTTATTTTAAGTTTATATGTGAGCTTTAAAAATTTTGCTAGAATTAAAATCAAAATCTGAGTCATTTTCGATATATGTTTGTCTTTTCTAAAAACAAATCGTTTTTTTACACTGTCAACCCAAGCAAAATGTTTTTTGTATCATTCGAATCGGATGCTTCGTTCTCTCAAAAACTACACTTTTTGTCAAACTTATCAGCACGTCTCTCCGAGAGTAAGAATCGAATGCTTTTTAAATTTGAGCTATGCCAAAATGTAACCTCTGAAACGTAAAGATATGCAAAAATTTCCATTTTTGATTTTTGCACAATTACCACAACTTACCCTACGGAAAGTTAAGAAATGTTACCCATTCAAGTATTCAAGCGACTTAAAAATATTTTTGTTACACTTCTACATTTTTTGCTGTCTTTAGTATGGCCTTCAGAATGGATTTTCTATAAATACTTTATTATATTAATACATATACATATAAAACCAGTAAATTATAATATTATTAATAAAAATTAACCACAATCACCGAAGAATGGTCATAATTTTACCAAAGCTCTGGGTCGCACTTAAAAGCTCAAAATTTCCAAACAGCGTAAGATAATTATTTTTCTATTTTTTTCAGGAAAATTAAGGTCAATACTATTACCTTCTATTGGCTTAATATTAAAATCTAGGGCATTTAGTATATATACACATAATTCTACTTAAAAACTATATTATAACATTTTGTTGTCACTGATTAGTTTAGTATGTCTGTTTTATCAATTAATCATCATCCTTTTTATCCAATGCCATATTGAAAATATAAATCAACAAGGCAAATTTTTATATCTTCTTACATTCTTGTTCATATATTAGTAAAATATTTTTTTTTTATTTGAAATTTGAAAATTTGTACTGCTGTTTGAAAAGATGACAATTTTTGGACGATCATTGAGAACATTCTAGTCAAATTGAAAACTTTAGAATAAATCAAAACTTTAGTCTCATAATTATTTTGTTATAAAACTCTTGAACGTTTGTATGCTGAAACTATGTCTTAAACAAAGTAAAAATAAAATCGGTAATTGTATTTGTAATTGTTTAAATTGTAATTTGTATTACTTACAAATTCAGAATCAGAATCATCACCATTCTTCGAAAATGAGACATAGTAAAAATATAAACATATGCTGATGTGTCATCTCAGCAGTTTTGCAAGAAAGTTGTTTGGTGATTTTTATAATAAATTTTTTTTAGAATAATTTAGAAAATCTTAATGTACTATTTTAGAAAAAAATGAACTTTATCTTTTAAATTTTCTATGAACATAGATCATAGAACCTTGGACACAAATCTTGGATTTATTTTTAGAACTTTATAAACAATTTATTTAATACCTTATGTAGATTGATGACCAAACAATAAAAAAAGTTTTTTATATAAGCTGGAATTAAATGCAAAATTTAGTGAAAAATAATATATTTCGTTGCCATATTTATTAATTAGCAAGATTATGGTTACTGGCTGCTGTATTATTAACGGGACGTATTATACACAGTTAGTTTTTACAAAAGCGCTTTTATGATTCGACGCCGCGTTTATATTAATTTTGAACAATGTACTGTGCATAATGTATATCATATATCTGCACAAAAACATCCACACACACTTATATATCAGCAACTCCATGTGAGCGTTGCTCTGGATAAATAATCAAGTGCAAAAGTGATTAATATTCGAAAATTTGAAAATCATATCGCAGATGGAAATCATATTTGAAATGATATCACATTATTATGTAAATGCCATCGCATTTGAAATGGTAGCAATTATATATTTTATTTGTTTTATACTTCAGTTTTATATAATATTATTTCGTTGTTCATTATTTTTGGATTAACATTAGATGAAAGAGATGTATTCATGTATATGAATAAAAGGTAGAGCGAGGCACAAAGGTCCAATTTGACCTTGAGTAATTATATTTTAAAAACCAAACCAATCAACAAACAACCAACCAAGCTACAATTCATCAAATCAAAAAGTTTGTCAACTGATTCTTTTTACACCATAGGCGGGGTAAAATCGAATGGTCAGGGGACAACCAGGTTCAATGTTTTATTTTTAATTTCAAAGGGTTTTTAGGCAATAATAGCTACATTATTGAACTAATACAAAATATGAATTTTATGGGCACAATTTTTACAGAGTTATTAACACTGTATATAACCTTGACCTAGTCTTTTGTTAGAAATATTCATCAACAGAGTTGGAACTATTTATTAAATTTATCTCGTGTGAAATTGCTTTTTTAATTTAATTTACTTTTATATTTACTATTTTTTATCATTTACACCTTTGCCAGGGTGAAGGTTCAGTTGGTCCTTTTTACCAAACACGTTTTTTTTTTTTTTTTTTTTTTATTTATTTATGGCATTTGACCGTGTGGTCATTTAGCCTCTTAATACATAAATAATATGTTACAAAATTACAAATACCAGAAAAATACATATTTTACAAATTATTTACTACATAATATTGCGACTTAATTCCTAAAACCTTAATAACTAATACTTTATTTTTAGAACTATATTTTAATGTTACATTTTTTTAAGAAAAACAGAAAAATTTTATATATATTTTCATCATTAGTAGAAAAGGCTATTGTAGTGTTAATAGGAAAAATGAAGTTATATTTATTCAGTTCTTGTAGTAAGAATGTTCTTTGATTAGCATAGAGCTTGCACTTCCAAAAGATGTGGTCAAGATTGTGAATTTCCAATCCGCAAGAACAGAAGGGATCTTCTGCCATGCCAATTCTGTAAAGATGAGATTTGCAGAATGTGTGGGCCGATCTAATACGATTGATAACGGTTATTTCGTCTCTGTTCAACCTAGATTTGGCAAACCATGTACTGAAAGACACTTTTGGTTTGCAAAATTTAAATAAAGTTCCTTTTCTGCCTTCCATATCATATTCGTTTTGCCATAACCTTAATCCTTGTTTCCTTACCCAGCTTTTTAGGTCAGACGCAGGAGCCTTTCTTGAAGGAAAATTTAATAAACAGGCTTCTTTTGCAAGACCATCCACATATTCGTTTCCATGAATATTGGAGTGCCCTTTTATCCATACTAATTTAATCGTGTTTTTATTTTCTAAGACGCTTTCTATTTTATGGATGGTGTCAAAAATTAAATCATTGCAATTTTCTTTAGGATGGTTTAGAGCCAGAAGTGCGGATTTACTATCTGTTAGGATTAAGGTTTTTGGAATCTTTTCTTGTATAACAAAGTCTAAAGCAGCATTGATACCTGTAAGTTCTGCCGAAAAGACTGAGGCAAAATCCGGTAAATTAAATTGTAAATTTTTCTCTCTATTAGGTACATAGACAGCACACCCCACTTTATTTTCTAACTTGGAACCGTCAGTGTAGATAACAGTGAAATCTTTCCATTTCGTGTCTAACCAATTCTCAAACTCCCTGTTTATTATACTTTTATTGGAATGATGAGTCATATAATTAAAATCATTCAAGACTATATATTTCTTAGGAAATGAGTAATTCCAAGAATGACTATGATATGGTAGTTTGTTATTTGTAATTATTCGATCTTCTAGAGGTTTCAAATTATAAAATCCAGTTATTAATGGAGGTGTCGGTCTATTTTTCCAATAGTTTACCCTAAAATGTAAAACAGCTAAATGTTCCAATTGTTTCGGGATTCGTTCAGAATCCGAGTTGAATTTTTTAATTAGAAATCTATTAGTTAGTATTCGTTTCCTAATGTTTAATGGGGCTTCCCCGGCTTCCGCTAAAATGGCAATGCGAGGCGTTGACCTCATAGCTCCCAAGCACAGTCTTAAAGCCGAAAGTTGAGCTTTATCTAGTAATCCTTGTATATTGGTTGAGATTCCTCCATAAATGAAGTATCCATAATCAATATGTGATCTAATTATGGATTTGTAGATAGCTAAACATGAACTTGGGTGGGCTCCCCAGTCAGTTCCAACCAATCTTCTAATGATATTCTTACCTGTTTCACATTTTTTGATCACCTCTTCAACGTGCACCCGGAAGGTCATCTTTTTATCAAAGGTAACCCCTAAAATTTTCACACTATCGTATATTTTACAGATCCAATTCCCCATATTGATTTCTTGAGGGTAAAGGAATTTTCTATGCCTGGTGAACAAAATACCCTTTGTTTTGACCAAGGAAAGGTTCAGGTGGTTGGACCTCATCCATTCTGAGACACCTGTGATCGACGACTTCATTTTGTGAATGCATTCCTCAAGTGTGTTGCAAGAAATGTATAAAAATAAATCATCAGCATATTGTAGTTTCTTAACATCGTCTTGGGTAACTTCAGTAAAGTCCGACATATAAATATTAAATAATAACGGACTCAATATAGAACCTTGTGGTAAGCCTGTAAGAGCTACTCTGGGACCTGTTAATTTATTTTTATTTTTTACATATAGCAACCTATTGGTTAGTAGAAGAATTATCACTTTCATAATATTAGAAGGAATGTTCAATTTCTTAAGTTTGTTCAGTAAAATGCCATGATCAACATTATCGTAAGCCTTATGTATATCCGTCGCTAATAATAGGAGGAATCTATTATTCGAATTAGATATATGAATGTCATTAGATAAGGTACTTAACAGATCACTTGTGCCTTGACCTCGTCTAAATCCAAATTGGTTTTGATTGAAGAGAGACTTGTTTTCTATATACCATTCCAATCTATTCTTGATGATGGCTTCAAATGTCTTATTCAAACAAGATAATAATGAAATTGGTCGATAGGATTCTATCTTCAAAGGGTCTTTATTCGGTTTCAAGATGGGAATAATTATAATTTTTTTCCAATCCTCTGGAATCCAGCATGTAGAAAGAATTGAATTGAATACCTCTATGATTAGACATTTTAATGCTATGGGGCTCTTCTTTAACATAATGTATGAGATATTATTCATTCCTGGCACGCTGTCTTTTTTATTTTTTAATATTTTATCAAATTCATATAGTCTGATAGGAGAAATTAAGTCATCGGGATCTCTTCCGAGATTATTTGCAAAATTCAGATTGATTTCATTGGAGACCAAGTCTGGAACGAACATTTTTAGCATGTCTTCGAAGAATGAGCTAGCGACTGGAGGCTTAGATGAGTTTCTGTTATTTTTGTTGTTAAAAATTTTTACTATATTCCAAAGCTTTGATGTATTAATATTACTATTGAGTGAGTTTGTAAAATCCATCCACTTTTTCTCTTTTTGGATTTGAGAATTTTTTTTGTAATAGCGTTTATTTTTTGATACTCAATAAAATTGTTGTAAGTAAACTCGTCTACCATCTTTTTGTACGCTATTTTTCTTTGCCTGATCTGGTTTTCACATTCTTCGTCCCACCAGATAGCGGGTTTAAATTGCTTAATTGCCACTGTTTTACGTTCCTTGAAGTGTTTACCAGCTGCTTCGTTTATGATCTCGATAATGGCATCATATTTTGACTTATGATCCTCATGGAGTACCACTTTTTTCAACTTATCTTCTATTTCCCATGCGTAATTCTTCCAATTGGCCTCTTTGGTATTCCATTTTCTGGAGGGATATATATAATCTTTTACATCAAAGTTAGTTTTAAATGTAATGTTAATTGGCAAATGGTCAGATCCTAAGCTGCCCGCATAAATGTCCCACTGGATTTTGTCATATAGATTATTGGAACAAAAAGTAAGATCTATTGGCGTACCTTTCCTACTTGCCGTGCCGATAGTGGTTGGTCTTTCATCATTCATTATGGTGAGGTTTAGGTCTTCAATTATGTTGTATAGAATCTCGCCTCCTCTGTCAATGGAGGCACTACCCCAAGCTAAATTTTTGCAGTTAAAATCCCCTATTATGAGTATTGGCATGGAGATAGTTTCAATTAAATCTTTAATGTTCTTGAAATTTTCCTTAGAGTTCGGCGCACAATAGATTGAAATAACACATACCGGGTTTTCTAATTTTAAAATCACTGCACACATTTGGATAAGATGGCACTGAAATGGGTGGTTAATTTTCTCGCATAATATGTTGTCTTTGACTAGAATGGCAGTACCGCCATAACCGTCAACTCTGTCTTCTCGGAAAATCCGATAACCTTTGACAAAATATTTGTGACCTTCTTTAAGCCAGGTTTCAGACAGACCTGCCACATGAATTTTATGAGACCACATATAATGTTCTATACTACTCTTGTTTGCTAACATTGATCTACAGTTATATTGTAAAATGTTTATTTGTTTCATAATGAAAGGAGTACTGATTGATTTATTTTTCTGAACTCACAGGTAAATCCTTATTAGATTTTTTCTTTTTTAAACTTGCAGGATCTATTTTGTGTTTAATTTTTACCATTTTGAGAAAAACATCACTTAACAAATTTTTCAATACGGGATCATTTGGATTATAGACGTCCTTTAGCAGCCTAATGAAATGATATAGGCCACCTGATGTGTTAGGATCTTCACTTTTCCTATTGTTATTCCTCACTTCATTTTCAGAATCAGAGTCTGATTTGTTTTTTAGTCTTTTTCTAGGGTTTATAAAATTTCCCTTGTCAGCCATATTTTCTTTATAAACAGGTTTTATGCTATGTCCGATTACAGCCCCATTCTTTTCTCTCTTGGTTGAGGGTGGAACATGAATCCTTTTAGGTTTATTAAATGTCTGGAAGTTTGCAATATTACCTTGGTCTTCCTCCTCTTCCAGGTCCGATAGAACCATGAATTTATTGTTTATTAAAGCCCCACTCTGGTTAGAGTTCTTGATTTTCATTGGAGGGAAATCTTTATCTTTATTCAAGCTGCTAAGGTTGACTCTAACTGTTCTCGAGTATTTATCGTTATCAAAGATTTTTTTTGCTTCGTAGAAAGATAAATTTTGTGTTGCCATTAATTCATTAATATTTTTATATCTTTATATATTCTGCAATCTTTATTATAAGCCTCGTGGTTATCTTTGCACAGGCAGCATAGATAGTTGTTATCTTCTATACATACGTCTTTAATATGAGGACCTGCACATTTAGGACACGTTAGGTCGTTCCGGCATTTTTCCCGAACGTGGCCGAATCGCCAACATTTGTGGCATTGGGTAATCTTCTTAATAAATGGGCTGACTGGGCATTTAACAGAATGTATGCCTACCTTATCCGGCAGAATTGAACCTCTGAAAGATAATTTCACGCATTGCGAGTTAATTCTGCGCTTGTTGATGTTTTTTGGTACAAAACACTTTACATCTATTATCGGAATAACTGATTCTATCTCTTCTAATATTTCTTCTGCAGTGAGATTAATGTCTACATCAAAGATTATACCTTCCCTAATTAATAGGTATTTAGGGATGTAAGCTTTCAATTTATTATCAGTAAAAAAACTATCGTCAAGAAGGCTATTAGCTGTTTTACCGTTCCTAAGAACTAGTTTGACTTTATTGTTACCAATCACGATAATCTCCAACAAATCTTCTTTCGGAATCGATCGTGATCTGTGTAGTAATTTTCCGAGAGCCATTGGGTGTAAACGTCCAATGTTTTTACTTAAAGATTCTACGTAAATGTAAAAAGGTCCAGTATCGCACATATCAAAACGATTCGGTAGATGAATTTCATCAACGTTAATTCGATTAGAATTCTCATCACTAGGTACTTGCTCAGTCATTGCAATATTTTGTGCTTCATTGCTTCTGTCACACACATTATCCATATTAATCGAATCTTCGATTCGAATTGACTTTTCAATCACCGTTTCAGCACTATTAATTTGCATTGGAATATGTTCACTTCTTATTATGCTCTCCTCATTATTTGAATTACGTAAATCTGTATTATTTTCATTTCCGACATAGTACACATTCATTGCATTTGCAACAGTCACGCCAATTTCCGAACATGTCAGAGGATTTTTATCGGGCGGACGGCCCTTTAATTGTCCGGTATCGGACTCCATAAAGACATTAAATTAATTAGCACAACAAAAATGCGGTTAATTTACTTAATTACCACTTATATTAACATAAAATACACAATGTTTATACGACACTGCGTGCCCCCGGCAAGGGGACACGTGTTTAACGGTATCTATTTGTACACAATGCAGACACTAACACAGGTTACTGTACAGGTAGATAAAATATTAGTACTTTTTGATATTTATGTAATGATTATTTATTCACCGATGTTAACAGCTCAACGTCTGAACGAATGACCAAACACGTTAAAATATATATAAGTTTTTATAGGTGCGGTTTCTGGTTTCAAGTAAAATTCTGACAATAAAAGTCGTTATAAACCATTTCTGTTTATACCTATTGTCTTTTAACTTATGTTTATGTCTGCCACGTCGTTTTGGTACGATTGTGACACTCGCTTTTTTGGTTTGATTTGTGACTAATCCATCGTGTTTAAGGACAGTATTACAGTATTTTCACGTAGACAAATGACCAAATTACCATTTAATTTACTTTTCTTTCAGATAACTGGTAAATGAACAAAATTATTGCTGAAAAAAGTGGTATAACCGCACCGAGACTTTCTTACTTTTAATATTTTTTTATTAGCGTGCTTTTTATTCACTAAAAATTTATTCATTCATCAAACACTATTAAAAAGTTTAAGCCAAATTGGTGAGCTTTCACAGTAGTTTTGCTACAGTAGTTTTAATTATATCTTACACATATATAAAATTCTTTTGTGTAGATGTATGAATTCGAACTCTTCCTACACGGTTATTCAAATTTTGGGGTTTGTTAAAAAAAAATGTGGGTTATAAAACTGTAATTATATTATAGAAATAATAGGAAAAAATTGCAGAAATGAGAACTGCTACCTGCCAGACATGTTAATTTATTTGAAATTTGAATTTAGTTTTTTTAAATTTAATTTAATTTTTTAGTTAGAATATAATATATTCATGATTATAAATAAGAAACAGGTAATATCTATATTATTATTATTGCCAAAAAGCAGCTGATATGTGCCAGAAATTAAAATAATGTAAGATACAGTATATGGTTGGCAGATGAAATTACATAATTCAGTTTGACAGGAAAAGAAATATAAATGTACCTAAAAATTTTATTTAAGGGCTGTGATATACATTGAATTCAAAGCCGATCAAGATATGCCAAAAATTATTATTTACAAAGTGCAACTGAAATATACTATATGTAAAAAAAATTTGCACATCGTTAACTGAGTGCAACATCAAAAACAGATGTCAAGTTTTGCAACAAAATTATATTATTGTTTTACACGAATAATTCTACTAGTATGAATATTGATGTTAATATATAAAATATTTTTATACATATTAACAAATATGTCCAACAGGGGACACATTTCAATTTCTAATATGCAGCTGAATTTGACAATATCTGTGTCAATAACCACAATATCAATCAGTTAGCATATTAGAAGTAAATAATATAATTGATGCCAAAGCACCTACGCCAAGTCACAAGGGCTGGCAATGAACTTTTGCGGAATTAACTTAGAAAATTCATGTTTTAGTCGTGGCTTTATGAGACTTGCTCAAAAGTTAGAAATCCATGCAATTTATTTATATATACGCCTACAAGTCTGAAAAAGAATATTGTATATCTTGGCATTGTAGTAAATTGATATATTGGAAATAAATTTGTTCTAAATTTTTATATACAATTTTTATGAACATATTTCGATATTTGTCTATTTAACATATGCTATATGTTGTGATGTGGATGATTTGGGTGTCACTGTATGATTGAAAATTAAGCATAGAAATTGACATTTCTACATTTAACATCACTTACATTATTGTACATACATTTTGATATAGTAGTGTTAAAAGCGTTAATGATTATTGTTAACTAAATGGTAAATATTAGTATAAGATATTAAAAAATTGGAACTATTAAATTGTAGACATGGGTACAAGACAACGTCTGTACCCAATACTAGCTGACCAAACGCCTGTCGGGTCAGCTAGTATATATATATATATATATATATATGTATATATATATATAATAACCAAGCATGTATATTTATTATATTTGTTCATGAGGGGACCGCAACAAAAGATTTTGCACCCTCCGCATGCGGCTGCTTACATTGCAGGTGTGCGCGTTCATTCACAAAAAATGAATGATTTGTCAAATCATGTATAATAAGGTCACAAAGCATCCTCATGCGGATTATAATATTAATCATGTTTAGTTATTAGTTATTAGACACCCCTTACGGTATGAAATCTCCACCCCGGGTCATTAAGCATGCCTTATAATTGATATCAAGTGGTCTGGAATTTGAAAATTTAATATGCGTATAATTATTCATCATACTGCAATTGAATAAGTAGTAAAACTTATTTGTATGATGTTAATATAATAAAAATTAATAATTGTATATAGAAAATGAAAGTACAGTAATACCTCGTTTAACGCCGTATCGTTCACCGCTGTTTTGGTTTAGCGCTCTTTTATTCCTACCTAGGTTTTGAAGGGATGAATGAGGAAGATGTTAAAGAAATAATTCAAGAAGCAGCGCAGTCTTTCTAATGGTGAGCTCAAGGAATGAACTGAACAAAAATATGACGAAGATGTTGACAGCAGTGACTCAGAGGAATAGCAAAAAGAACTTTGGATGGTATTTGTAAAAAGGAGTTTGTTTACCGTAACTGAAATAATGAATCAATTCATTTAAAATGATCCGAATTTTGACAGGAGCTCTAAAGTAAGGGATGGTGTTAGAGATGCTCTATCCGTTTATGAAGAACTTTTAACAGAACAACGCAAAAGAAAAAGTGAAACAATTCTAGATGCTTTTGCCACAAAAAGGCGAAACACTGAAAACGCGGAAGGCTAACTAAATATGACTGACTTAGAATATTATTTGTTTTTCAAGAATATTCGTTTTGTTATTTATATTTTGTCTTTATTTCTGCAAGTCTTCAGCGCCCGCATGCCATTTTTTTCTAGCACTACCTCTTCCACTAATTTTTTATTTGTTTTCGCAGTTTGTTATTGAAACTATGTAAAATTAGTGGTGCATGGCATCGTGCCTTCAGGCAAATTACTGAAAGTTCCCGTAACGTGATGAAATATTCGAGGAATATTATATGCTTACAAATAGATTATTATAAATACGGTAACTTTCATCATTCGTAAATTGGACGATGACGCTTATATATGTTTACATGAAAAGTAAATGAGCAAAACTTGGTTAAGCGGGGTAAGAATGAAGGAACTTGCCGCATATTTCTAAGAATTATATAAACTGAAATGCAAAGTTAAATTATTTATTTTAAGTATATAAGTAAGTTTCAGAATTTTAGATAGAATAAAAATTTAAATTTAAATAATTTTGTATCTTTAAAAAATGGAAAATAAAAAAAAAATGTTTTTAAAATTTTGAAAAAAATGCATTTTTCAAAAACTAACCGTTTTGTCACAAGCAAAATGTTTTTTAAATCATTCGAATCAGATTTTGACACTTTTAGCTTCTTATCTCTAAAACGGCTGGGCCTGTCCTTGCCAAAAACTAATCAACACATCTTCCCGTCATTATCAATTCAATGTTTTTTTTTAATCATTTAAATTGGATGCTCCATTCTTTCAAACGGCTGCACCAATCTCAGCAAGTCTTCCCAATAGGAATCGATTGCTTTTTTTTAACTTTCCGTAGGATAAATTATTGTAATCGTCTAAAAATCGAAATTGAAAAATTTTGCAAATCGTCACGTTCTGAAGGTTTCAGAACATTTTAAAAAATGAATGTGTGTGCGTATGTATGTATGTATGTTCAAAAAACATTCGATTCCTATTGGTAGAGAGATGTGCTGATTAGTTTTTGCCAAAGGCAGGTCCAGCAGTTACGGAGATAAAGAGCAAAGAGTGCAGAAAATAGAAATCGAGTTTTTGAGAGAACATTCCATTAGTAATGATTGGGAGAAGTGATTATTAGTTTTTGGCAAAGGCAGGCCCAGCCGTTTCATAGATACCGAGCTAAATGTGCAAAAATGGCACATTTGAGAGAACTAAGTGTCCGATTTACATGATTCAAAAAAACTTTCTCCTTGTTTTAACAAAATAATTGATTTTGGAAAAAAAATTGTTTCAAAATTTATTCATCGAAAATAAATCACATTTTATTTTTAATTCTGACTAAAGTTCTAATATACTATAATCAAATAAATTTTAACTTTGCTATTCAATTTATATAATTCTTATAAATATTTGACAATGTTACAATATTTATAATAATCTATTTGAAAACATTCAGTATTCCTCAAACATTTCGTTACAGTACGGAAAGTTCCAGCAATTTGCCTTAAGGCACAATGCCAAACACCCCACTACTTAAGATATTTAAAAGTACATAAAAAAGTTTTGGAGGAGCTGGGATTTGAACCCAGGACTTCCCGCATGCGAAGCGGACACTCTACCCCTGAGTTACACCCCCTTTAGAAAAATCTTTCATTTTTGCATTCAAATTTTTCAAAATGTGTCAAAAAACTAGTAGGGCGCATAGCATCGTGCCTTAAGGCAAATTGCTGGAACTTCCCGTACGGTAATTAAACATCCGAGGAATAAAAATAATCAATAATTGTTTTGAAGATTTCCAAATAGATTATTATAAATACACTGTAAATTCATAAGTGTTTTTTAAATTGGATGGTGAGCGTATTTTATAAACAACTTATGTGTACGTTTTTAAGAGTCTATTTTTTTTAATTGGATTTTTTTGATAATTTAGAAATTTTTTGATAATTCAGAATTTTTTAAATATTTTGAGAACTTGGAATTTTTTGAAAATATTCGATTTTTTTTTAATTTTCGAAATATTCTCAAATTTTTGTAAGAAAACATTTTTTTAAAAAAATTTCGAGATTTAGTTTTTATTGAAAATGATGAAATATTCGATTTTTTTTTTAATTTTCAAAAACATTAAGTTGTTTTTTGAATTAAT